TCGATGGAATCATCGATGACGATTGCCATCGATCGGGTGCGATTTTTGCCCCAATTCCTCACCACTAACGATTTCTACAGGAAAACCGCCCAGGACCGCAATCGAGAAGACACGGCGCTTGCATCGCCGCCCAGGTCAAAGCAAACCCCATACGTATCCCCTCCCCTCGTCCTTTTTTTATTTTTCATTTCTATTCTAGTGCCGAGCGCGTGTTGTCCGCCAGCGGCATTAGTGTCGCACCCCCACGTTGATCCCTTCGCCGCACTGATGCCACCTCTGGACAACAACCCACACCAGCCGACGACTCGACCCCTGCTCAGCCCATGCTCACTTCCGCTACCCAACGCCACCAGGCTGCCAAACCACGTGGTGGCCCCAATGAAACCAATGATGACAACCACCCCCTCCAAGATACAAACAGCGATGACATGAACGGACCCAACAAAGACGAAGAACCAAACAAAGACCAAGAAACCGAAGACACCCAGCATGACAACGACAACAACAACAACCAGCACGACGAACAGGACGACGAACGGCACGACGAACAACACGACGAACGGCATGACAACACCGGGAGTGCCACCTGTCCACACACCAAGCGTGCCCATGTCAGCACCAACACCCCCAGCACCAATGCTGCCACGCGTCAGCGGGCCACGCCCACCAACGCCAGTACCAACACCCCCAGCACCAACACCGCCACACGTCAGCGCGATGTGCGCGCCAACATAATCAACACAACCCCACACCAGCGTGTCGCGCCTGCCAACGTCAACACCAGCACCATCAGCACCAATGTGGCCACACGTCAGCATGCCGCGTCCACCACGTGCATGGTCATGGGGAAGCCCAACACTAACGTAGATAGCCAACGTAATGCAGATAAGAACAACACAGGTGCGTTAACACTACCATGTCTTATCACAGTCAGGATAGTGGACCACCTATCCTGACTGTGAAAACTCATCTCGACGTCGGGATGGTAGGTAACCCACCACCCATCCTGATAGTGAGATGTCAGGGACTTGTGTCCATCCTTCATCCATCATGGGTGAAGATGTTTTTATTTTTATTTATATATCATGTATTATTACAATGACTTGGTGCTAAGTAAACTGTTTAGAAAATTCTCGTGGGCGGCAGCCGAAGCGTGATGGCAATCCAAGTCAAGCAGCATCTACACACCATGAAGGTACTCTTTACCTATCTGTGTTTCATTCTGTTGTATTAAACTTTCTCAAATACAGATACAGTTATGGCTAGTCCACCAAAAGGGACAATTCCTGCATATGGCTCATCACGTTCGACTGGTGGAATCTTCCGGGGAAAAGCTCTGGGCAATTCCATTAACATCGGTGATGCTGTTGAAGTCTGGGAGGAGATGGATGTTTTTAGAGAGGGTCTAGCTCAGAAACCAGTCAAGGGAAAGATTCACTTCTACATCTCAAACCTCAATCCACCCGATATTGACATCACCAAGTCCTCTTTTATTGCCAATGTCTCTGATATCAGCAAGTGTGAAACCATTCAAGATGTTATTGGTTGTGGATCCCGAGACTATTCACCTATTCGACGTGAGTTTGATAAATTTTCTGGTAAATATATATTAATCACTCTACATAGAACCTGCCTATCGCCTCTTCAAATATGAAGAAGAGGGCTGGAGTGTCCAAGGACACTATGAATCAATCATGAAGCGCAAACCAACAGATGAAGACTATGTAGAGTGGTTGGATGATGAGCAGAACAGAAAGATTATTCGTATTTTGGGTGTAAGTCATTTATTAGACTCTTTTTGAATTATTTTAATAAAAAGTCTGGTTTCTAGACTACATTTGATCCTAGTCTCTCAGTAACTTTGCCTGGATTTACAGGCTGTCTTGGTTCTAGCATTGGGTCTCGTTCTGTATCTGCACACTCTGGCTCTTGTGCAGGCTCTCGTATCACATCTGCTGGTCATTCTTCATCTACTGTCGAACAAGGTTCATCTCTAGGTCACTGGTTCATTGGAAAAGACAAACTGTCTCCAGCATTGAGAAGCCGTCTTGTTGAAGAGCTTAATCTCAATGCTAATTATACAAATTGTTCAGCTACAGGCCTGTGCTTTGCCTGGGGACGATATTTAGAATGTACTGCAGCTCTTGCACGGGCCAAAGAAATGGTAGCAGTTGGAAG